AACCCTTGCAATCCCACCGAAAATTTTTCAATCGGCACCCTGAGCGATCGAACGCCCCCCCCCCCCCCCCCACCCCAATCTTGGCAACCTGAAAATATCCCGTTTAGGCATCTATTACATTTTCATATGCAATCAAATGTCTTCATCTCGCTGGTTGAAAATGTTAAAATAAACTTTTTTGACATTCTCGTATGATCGGTAATCTATTTTCTCACTGTAAATCTTTCGACATTTTTTTTGTTCGCGATTTTTTGCATTCGCCATTTTATTTTCGCTATTCTTTCGTTCGCTATTTTTTCTTTCGGCCAATTTAATGCCATTCAAATGGCGTTATTAGATAGAAATGTCAATCGTGTTTCGTAGTTCACATTGAATTAGTTCAGAATGTTTGACCTCGAAATAGATGATGACATTTCTTTCTGTCTAATATTCTCCTTTATTTCTTAGTGGTCTATCAGTCTGCTTATTATTCTCTTCTCAAGAAAAATATTTCTCATAGAGCGTAATTCTTCTAACGTATAATATTACACCGTTTAGCATAAGATAAAATATGTCAAGTAAACATTAGAAGTTTATTTACAAAGGATCAACGATCTTGTCGAATAAACATTTTGTCATTGATTTTATATAGTTGAAGTGAAAAATGAATAATATAAATATGTAAGAAGCACATATTATAATTGGTTTGATTGAAAAATGAAGACTTGTTGAAGTCAAAATTGAAAATGTCTCGACATGAATAATGAGACGAAAGCTTATAATATTTTCTTTGAATAAATTCTCTTAGGTAGAATATCAATGACAAGATAGTTAATAAAGAGAGAAAATATGTGATATCTGTTGATCGACTAAATCGAAAATGAGGGAAATCTTCAAATTCAAGCCTGTAGCCAAGAATTTTCTATGGGAGGCCACCATGGGGAAAAGCATTTTTCGGAGGCGCAAAAATTTTACTTGTCGTACGCTTTCCAGGGAATTTGTGCCCCAAGGGGCGTCCGGGTTTCCTCGCACAGTGGGAAGTAAGCAAAGGTCAGGAGCAATAAACATTTCCATTATTTTGAATAAAACTTTTTTGAGAAAGGATTTTTAATAATAAGTAAATATGCGTTTTGTAATGCGTTTTCATTTGAGATATTATTCAATTTTTTTGCACGTCGCGTAGATGAGAAAATTAAATGTTAAGAAGAAATATTTTGTCGCCTGGCTGCCCACTGTGCCTCGGCTCCCCCTTGGCTACGGCTCGGTTCAAATTGTAATATGCTTAAAAATTCAAGTGAAATAGAAAAGACAATAGTTGATAGAAATCTATCGATCACTTACATTATTTTCAATAATTTGACATAAAGAATTTGAACATTTATGATATTGTTGATTTTCTTTATATTCTTTATTTTCATCTTCAATTTGATTATATGGATAAACTTTTGTCGATAGTTGATGATCGTGTCTTTTCTTTTTTTTTTGTTGATGTTGATCAAACATAATATTAACAACTTGATCAAATGCACAAGCAATTGATAGATGACGAGAGTAAAATTCACTCCACATTATTATATTTGTCTCATTGCACTTATTTAATTCTTTGAAATGTTTATTTTCACGATAAAATTTTTCAATCTCTTTGCAACATCGAACAACACTTAGAAATGTTTATATATCAGAAGTTAATAAATGAGCAAGTCTATGTTGTACTGTATACATTCTATAATTCATCAGCGACATTTATTTTTAATTTCGAAAGAATGACTATAGAAAAAAAGGAAATTGCTTGGTTTTTTCTTAGCCGGCTGGTCGGTCGATTTTTTTCTCCAGCAACCAAAACACATCTACATCTATTACAGAACCTCTAGCTCCTCAACTGCTATACTATAGGGATACCTCTAGGTCTCCAATTGCTCTACGATGTGGATACCTTATCCTCAATTACTATACTATAGGGTATCCTAGATACTCAACTGGATTCGAGTGTCAAATGGAAATCATGACAAGAACGGTCATATGAATTCGGGATTTATCAATCCATCCTTATGAATATGAAAATGTTTTTTTTTGCCCGGAACTATATTTCGTGTTCTCAAACGTGATCATCCGTACTATGTCATGGAAGAAGTCACGCTACAGCAGCTCAAAGCAAGACGAGCTGAACTACTGTGTTGAACAATATAATCATTTCAAAAGAATGAGTCAAGATTTTTCTAACGTTTTGTACGAATACGCATAAAAATGAATAATGATCGTATTTTTGATTACCTTGAGGGTGAGGGTCGTAACAAGTAAATCACCTCTCAAAATGCGTATAACTTCGTTATTAATAAAACTTAATCTATTAATCTTTTATTATTTAGAAGAGACTACCAGTAAGTTTTTATTCATAAAGACAAAGTTGATAAATACTGTTCTACAATATTACCTTTAACTTGAAGAAAACAGGTTTGTTTTCACTACAAAGAATAGATCAAATAATTCGCCATTTATTATCATCATGTTCGATTTGAACAAGCCGAAAGATTGATTAAAGCATCATTCAAAATTTGTCTTAATTACTTCTATACTATTGTTGAAATTCATGTATAACAAACGATTTTCATCGATTTCTTTCGTATTGTTCTTCATGCCAATGAAAGAGACCATCGATCAATCATCGATAACAAACAAATTATTCATTTTATTTCAATCTAACATTCTTTTTAAAAACATCTAACCAACGAGGTTGATCTACGTCGTTATGATTTCTTCTTCAACACACGAAAATCATCAAATAAGATGATTCACCAGCGAAATATGATAGCTATCGACGTCAAGTTTCCACCGTTAGAAAGAGGACGGGTAGGAGCACAAGTCTAGTTGAGAATAACAATATTTCAAAAGTTTTTCTAGGAGGTCACAAAACTTTTCTGAAAAATTATTGTCTAATTCCTTAAATTAGGTGTATTTTCAATTTCAATTTAGCCATGTTATAGCTCAATGTCTACTCTATATATACTAGAATTTTTAGACGTTTTCGACCTTTTCTTAAAAAATTATAATCGTTTTACTGAATTTTCAATCCTTGCGTATTTATTGGAAAGACAAATTACGCAATTTTGGCCTGAAAATTTGTCCGCAGATGGATCCAGTAATTCATAGAATATTCTAAAAGTTTTAGCCAAAAAGGATGTTCTTCCTTGAAATAATGGATTTCCAAGTGAAACTGAAAATACATCTAATTAGAGATATCAGACAGTGATTTTCCAAAAATCTTTGCAACTATCTAGAAAACTTTTGAAGTATTTTCATTCTCAGCTAGACTTGCATCCCCGCCTATTCTCTTTCTAACGGTGATCACAACCTTTTGTACTTTCGCAATATCTATACTGAGTGTTGACATTTAGACAAGAAAAGAAGATAATTGCACAACCTGTAACTTATTGCACTTTGAATAGAATGTAAGTCTTGAAAAAGAATAACGAACCGCGATCGATAAGTTTTCGCCGTTTTCACGCTCTGAAACCGAAAATTTTGCACCAAAAAAACGCGTTTCTGGCTTTTTTATAATCAGCGTGAATGGCTCACAATCGCGGTTTCATGTTGAGTTGGGAAGCGATTGGCAGGTCTTCATAATTAGTCAATGTTAATAATTCTTCGATCGATTTAATGTCGGATACATCAATCTCGTATACTGGTGCAATATATCTAATCCAGATGAGAAGAAGACATTTCGTCAGTGATGAAAGGAATTTCGATGAAATCGATTAATTTTTGCAATTTTCAGTTTGAAAATATAATAAAATATTATCGGTCCAATTTATGATGATGTTGCATATGCCTGAATAATATTATTCGTCATCTTAATTACACTTAATTTTTCTGTTTTTGTACGATTTTATATAGAGGTCTATAAAAGAACGACAGTGAGTTTTTCCAACTTTGTGTTTTTGATTCTTTCAAAATGCAAATCGAAACATGAATAGTCACAGTTACCTTTTATTATGAACGACGAAATACAGCGAAAGATGTTGTGATCATTTGAAAGTATGTTTGTGGAAGGTATGCATTGATTTGGTCGAAAGAAAAAAAAATATCGCAAAGGAAATATTGTAAAAGAAATGCCAAAGAGAAAATGTAATCTTCTAACAAAATTTATCGAAGAAAAAAAGTCTAATTGTTGGTAATAGATGGTCATTACGCCAAAAGTTTGATTCAGAGTCTTCTTTCCTTCTTTTCCCTTAGAGGAATATATCAGAGCTGATTTTGTTTACTTCGATACTGTTAACTCACACATTGACTAACGCACACAGATTGCAACGCGTCACCATCACTATCATCGTCATCATCATCACGTCTTATGAGAAAAAATTCTTGAAATGAATCTGGCAAAGTTTACAAAAATTTCAAAGACAGAAATTATAAATGCATTATTCGATCGTTTAGTTATCTTGTTAGATGAATCTTAAATATATGTATTCTTCTGTCATATGGTGTGTTTTAACAACCTAAACAAATATGATTCGTATGTATTGTTTTATTCACACGAAATGTTAAATTTCACTCTCCTTCATTGATCATATAGATAGAGTTTTGAACAGTGTTTTATGTGAAAAAAAAACACAAAATATGTCTTGTCCTTGAAAAGAAACTAAATAATCATATGATAATATACATTTGCTATTCTTCTTAATTTGCACATCTCACGGGTAAATATCAAATGTGCAATACACATAGGTGGGCTTTGTTCTATTCTTTCTCCTTTTTTCTCTAGATGAAATTGTATGCACATGGTTAAATAAGAATAATTATCGAAGCATGAAGGATCGATAGAAAGAAAAGGATAGGCAAGAATCAATGATGAAAAAAGAAAATGATAGAAAAAAGAAAGATAAGGACATATCTTGTGTTGTGTCTTTAATGAATCTTTCTTCAAACATGTTTACATTTGTTGCATTTTTCATCTTGTAATAATATTCAATAAATTTACTTTAGTATTTCTTCAATTATGTTGTTCGTATATTTTTAAAACTAAGTCGCTCTCAATATGATATTGAATCCTTTTTGAATGAAATTATCATCTAATAATATGCACAACAAACAACACTATTGATAATACGTAACAAGACAGATCAATAATATTCTAATGAGATTCGATATGAATGCTAAAAAGATTAATTGCTGCCAAATGATTTCTGCTCTTTTGTTTTGATTTGATAAAAGAATTAGTAAAAAATATCGTAAAATAAATTGAATATATATTATGTTTTACTAAATTCAACAAAAAATGAAAAAGACAATATTATCATAATATTTATATCGATTTTATATCATTAAGTTCAGACAATTGTTTAGTATGGACAATATTTACAAGCACAGATCTATCATACCAATCACAATCAAACGATTGCATGCTTCATATGAATAATGTGTTCACCATGCTGTTCTATTTCTATTGCACTGGTAAATATACAGGGTCAAAAAAGAAAAGAAAAATAGCAATCAATAGTGACTATTCTCTGAATAATTTTGCTGTCATTGTAATCATTAGAATCCAATGGGTCGGTGTGTATCGTCAACAATTGACTAGAGACAGATGCCATTCTATTCACTTCTGAAAAATGACCAATCTTTGCAACGCTCTATCAAAAAACAACACAGTTGATTGATACTATTTGATTGTTGAGAAACAAAAAAACAGGACAAAAAAAATTGAAAATGGAAATAACATTATTAATATAAATTGCTGAAGTGTTAGTACAGAAAGATAGTGGAATATTTTTGTGGATTCACTATTTCTAAAAAGCAAGAAAAAGTAACTAATGGATCAACATCCGATCGTCGCATATCTAAGCACACTTACCGCTTCTTATTTTCCATACTTTTGTTCGGATATTTCTATGCGATTCATAGTTTGATATGGAAGTATCTAAGGAGGATGTCTAGGAAAATGCGAAATTTAATGAGTTTCTTTTGAGAGTATTCTATCCTTTTTTGCAGATTCTTCATACTGAGGACTGATATTCTAATATCTTTTCTGAGTTAGCATCACGACAGATTCTCATTATTGGTGCACTGCATTTATCCAATAAAACTCAAATAGTAAAATTCATAACAATAAAGATATATTATATAATTCTTCATATGAGGAACATATATTAAAGCAACAAGTAATTAATCTTTAGAGACAAGAAACTAGGAGAAAATACGTAGAATATTCATATGTGTTGGAAATCAAGGGAAACAAAGATTTTCCTGCAGTGACTTTCGTGGGTAGTAGACTTTCAATGATACTTGCTTACCATAATCACAGTCTATATACTAATTGACGCGATTAACACGTCCATATAGCATTGAGGATGATGGTCATCCCTAAAGTGAACAAACACTATTTTAGGAAATCGCTGAAAGTTTACGACGAAATTTATGTTATCCAAAACCAAGGTATTACATTACATCAAATATTCAAATTGATTCTATCAATGTTTTGAGTCAAAATCAGTATTTTCTACCTTTCAGGGATAGTTCCACCGAGGGAAAAAGTGCTGGTTTGAAGTCCCAAACATCTCAGCATTTTGCCAGAACTTCAGCACTACTACTCTACTTTCTGATGCTGTAGTGCTCTTAGAGTTTTGGAAAATAAGATAGAAATTGATGTTACAGCGAGGAGTGATAGTTATACCATTCAAATTCGATCTTTTTGATTAACGAGGCAAACTCATCAACTGATATCCTCTGTTTGAGCTCATATTTTGCCTATTGGTAAGATTCATATTGTAGAAAAACACCTCCAAATGGCTTGTCCCATTGCCGCTCCGTTGCTGAGAAATAAACATAACAAATTTTTATAAAAAGAGATTTTTTATTTCCTCTCAACTTTTTAAATTTCATTTTTCAACATAAAAGAAAACATTTTCATGAGTTGATTTCTTTCTATGAAGTCTTCCTGAATATGATCAAATAAAAAGATCAACAAGAGAAGAGAAAGGAATGTTCAGATCTGAATGGTTAAAAGAATTTAAAACTCCAAAAGAATATACTTGATGTGTTCTATTTTCTATTGTTTCATTCAAATATATTTTCTGAAGATACACAATAACATTATTGATAATCTGGTGAGGAAAAATGTATTTTGAACAATCAAAATCGACTCTAAAATCTTTCCGGATTTCAGAAAAAAAATCCGGGATTTTCCGGATTTTCAAGTTTAGCGCCTGGTAACTCTGGATTTATATAGTAAAATTAGCCAGGATTCGTCTAGGAACTGTTCCATTATAGTCCTAAGTACAACTCGATGAGCTCTATCCAGTGGTGTAATCAGATTTTCCATAGCTCAAACTATGTAAAAAAAAGTCCCATAATACTGATATTTCGCTATAGGCATCTTGGGATTTACATAGTAAAATTAGCCAGGATTCCTCTAGGAACTGTTCCAGTCAGTGTTCCAAGTACAAGTTGATGAGCTCTCTCGAGCATTATAGTCAGATTTTTTGTAGCTTAAACTATTTCTTCGAAACCGTCGGGATCGGTATATCATGCGGTAGAAGACATTTCATTCCAGTGTATTCATGCGTTATTCCTTCCCAGACTTTGTTTTAGAAATTTTGTTTCTTTCCATCTTGAATAGTTTAAGCTACGAAAAATCTGACTATACTGCTCGGAAGAGCTCATTAGCTTGTACTTGGAACACTGACTGGAACAAATTTGGAACAGTTCCTAGATGAATCCTAGCTAATTTTACTATATAAGTCCCAATACTCCTATAGTGAAATATCAGTATTATGGGATTTTTTTGACATAATTTGAGATATGGAAAATCTGATTATACCAGTGGATAGAGCTCGTCGAGTTATACTTGGAACACTGATTGGAACAATTTGGAACAGTTCGTGAACGAATCCTAGCTAATTTTACTCGAATCTTTGGCTAACTTCACTTGCGTTTTCGTCTGGACGAAATTGGAATGTGATTTGAAAAAATAACAAAATTTGAAAAAATATCAGAAACTATATAGAAACCGAAAAGATTTCCGATGGTAGTCAGGACTACAGCGAGCTACAGTGAGGATGTCGAAAAATCTGGATGTGGGTGAAGGCATCTGGGTGAAAGAAGAATGAAGCCTATGGTTTTACACAGTTTTCTGATTTTCTTTCACTCACACCCAGATTTTCCGACATCCTCACTTTTGCCCTCGGCAGTCTTGACTAATATCGGAAATATTTTCGGTCTCTAGTTTCTGGTATTTTTTTCAAATTTCGTTATTTTTTCAAATCATATTCCAATTTCGTCTAGACGAAATTAGAATTCTGATTTCGTCTGGACGAATTCTGAATTTGGCTGAATTCTAATTTGGGCCACAACATATAGATCATGTGGATCAGATAATTTCCGATTTGTTTTATTTTTATTTCAGCGAAAAAGTGATAGAGTGGTTAGCACAAGTCGCGATGGAACCACCGAGGATCGTTTCACAGAAATTTCAAAACTGTTCGGCGTAACTCATCGCATCGTTATCTTGTTAGTTGATGACCGTTGACCTTAGCTACTCTCGAATCCAGCCAATGACGTAAGGTCAAAGGTGACAAGGTGACGATGTAAGAGTGAGCGGCAGAGTCAAAGGTCACCGACTTATGATAAGGGTGGAATGAGGTAGCGAAGTAACGACGTGACGATTGTGGAAAGTTGTGTTGGTTATTTTAATGTTTTCATATCACGACCTACAGCGATTCCGGCACGGTTTGTAGCAAACACTTATTATCAAGGTGGTTTTTGTAGCATTGCTGTTGCTCGATCATGTCGCATAGGTGTGATTTCAATTGGTGAGTGTGTTTTTTCGGGATATGATTATTTTGTCTTTTTAATTAAAATAAAAATTTTGTTTAGAACAATGTGAAGATTTGGATAATTCGTATGATTATAGTGTTCTCTTTAAATTCATTCTTCCTCGACTATATCATTCATTATTTTTTTATACTGCTGAATTTCTTTCAAGTCAACGTGAAAATGGTTTAAAATGAATATCTCATATTATTGTTGGTGAAATATGTAAGTATTTTTTATACTAGGATAATCGATAAATATTATAGAGATGAACATGATATGAATAGAGATTTTTTATTAGTTTTACTTGGTGATGTGCTTAATTTTTATCCTAAATATAGAATAATCGGTGATATTTGATTATTCGTATTTGCTTCATATAATGGTTTATAATTTCGTGGTTTAAAGTTAAAAGCAGTTAAATCAGTTAGAAATGGAAACAAACGAGCAATTCGATCATAGATTCTATTGTGATCAATCGTAATCATATTAAGAAAAAGAAAGATAGTTGTCGCTTATTTTATTTCAAGTGTCGTTAAAAAAAACACAACAACTGTTTAGTTAAACGAATAAAAAGATTTGTTCTGTTGTTTTTTTTAATGTGTGAAAAAAATTCTTCCTACGACACTCGGTGTTATCCTATAAGTTCATTCTCTCCAATGTCACTATAAAGAAAAACGTGATTATTGTCCACAAGGACGTAATCATGATAAACTAGCTCGACGAATTTTATCAACAAGAATTAAATTCGTTGCAATTGATGTACTTGAATGAATCAATTGTTTTTTCACACGATAATTATCAAAAATAGATAAGGATTTTGGTTCCATTGTTTCACCTATAACAACAAATTTCATCACTTTTATTATTTATTTCATTTAGGAAAAAATATTTACCTATTGTTATATCAATACCAACGGGTATTTTCGATGTTGCATATTCATGTTGAAGTTTAACAATTGTTTCTTGTTGATGATGACCAGCATTTTGAGCAATAGCCTTTGGAATAATTAATAATGCTTGAGCAAATGCTTAAACAGCTAAACGTGCACGACCTTTTACTTGTTCATTATATTGAGTCAATGGTTGATGAGTAACAATTTCAAAAGCACCTTCACCAAGAATAAGACAACCTAAATAAAAATAATTTACTATTCAAATTAGAAATAAAACCATCTTCAAGTACATTTCTTATTGAACAACGACCATTACGAAGAGCATCTTTAACTTGATTTAATATGTATTTAGTTGAACCTTTGAGTAAAACTGTTACTGATTTTGGGTTTTTGCAAGCTTCAACAAATGTAAATATTTCTTCATCGAAAACATGTTCATAAACATCTTCAGCAAATCCAAGAGATTCTTTTTTTAAATTTTCAAGCGAACTAATCATAAGAAATTGAAAATACTGATTTAAAATTTTCAAATATTCTTACTTCATAGCTTGATCAGCACATGCTAAAGTTAAACGTTCCATATTTCGATGTTTAGCACGTCTTAATGCTAAAATTCCTTCTTTAGCTAATACATCAACCGATAATGGATTAATGCCTTTGTTATTAATGACCATAAATCATTTATTTTTATTATCACCCGAACAAACTTTTCGTTTAAGTTAAACTATTTTTTGAAGACGATCATCAATAAATTTACGTTGAGATGCAACGAGACGATCACGTTCTTCAGCATTTTTATAAAAAAAATCCGCATTAACTTCTCTAAAAACAAAAACATACTCAAATATGATATTAATTTAATTGATGACATACGTTTTTTTGCTATTCAAGTGAAACATTACAAGTTAATATATAAGCATTTTAAAATGCTTTAGACATTGATGGATGACGAGCACCATGATCAAGAACGATTCCGCGTACAAGACGTCAATCACCTTCTGTTCAATGTTGCATTTTCCATTATTTCAACCATATTTAAATCAATCGGTTTACCTGCTTCATTTATAGCTAATATACCATCGACAACAATATTTTTTTATTTAAAAGAGAATATCTCTATTATGAAAAAAAAAGAGATAAATACAAACATCAGTGAGAATATCAACATTTTCAATTGATAATTTTCTACGTAAACAAGTACGAGCTATTTTAATCAATGTTTCACGATCAGCTTTTATCGGTATTTTAAGTTTGTCAAGCACTTGTAATGCTTCTTTTTTTGCTAATTGAAAACGTTGAGCAAAAATGTGCGGATGAAGATCCTATGAAGAAAAACTTATACAAATAAATTTCTCTCTTTCTATCATCTTCTCTTCTATTACCTCAGCAATATAAAGATCAGCTTGTTTAAATAATTCACCAATTAACAATATAATTGATGTTGTTCCATCACCTGTTGTATCATCTTGAGCTTAGGTAGCACGTGCAATAAGTGATGCAGTTTGGATGTTGAATTTCCTATAAAATAAAATAATTTTATCGAACAAAAAACAATATGAATAGAAACCATTTGATGAAAAAGTCTATTACTATCTTTAGTTATTTTAATATTACCTACACCCGATACAAGCCTAGAATATCCAATAATTAAAATAGAAAATTTCTACAATTGTACATACATTTTCATTGTTCCTTTTCGACCTAAATTTGTCTTAAGCATTTGTGCAAGACCACGAGCTACTCAAATATTAATCGGTAAAGCTTGTGTGTTGACGAACACTTTCAGCTTTTCGATTTAATGTTGTAATAGCCGACATAATACACTGATATAATATAAAATCTAAAAAAAAATTGATCATTAATGAAAAAATTCGAAGTAGAGATCAACAAAATATGAAAAGAAAAAGAAAACAAAGATGAACAAGTAGAAATAAATGTGATTAATATCCGTTAGGAAAAAACAAACAAGTCTCTGTTTTTTCGTTGATTAATAAAAGATTTCTATTGAGAAATACGGTTGATATCTTGACTAGATCAATATAGTTATTGTTCATTAGATGAAGAAGGAGGAGGACGAGGGATTGTTTCTATACAAATTTAAAATGCAATATTTTCTCAATTATATTCAATGACTGTTAATATTCATGCTGGAATTGTTAAGCGCTAAAATAAATTTATTTTCTTTAATTTAAGAAAAATAATTTATCTAAAAATTTTACTTGAACCATTGACATAGATCGTACATGACTTCGAAGACCATCATCACGTAATTGAGGTGCTCTTTGAAAACACATGTTTTTATTGTGCAGCTGGTCAATTTAGAAGTAATTAAAATGAATGTGGTCGAGTTTTTTGACAACATTTTATAAAACCTTCGCATACTCGAGCTTTTTTCCAACCCTTAAAATATCTCAAAATGATTTATTTATTAAATTAAATTTACTAACTTATTTTCTAATAAGTCTTTGTAAAATATCCATAAGAAAACGAACCATTTTTGGATAGAAACTAAGTGCTTGTAAAACCGTCCGCATAAACAAAACGGGTATTGGATTAATATGAACAAGTTGTTGAATAACGAGAGTAAAAACATCATCAGTATAAATTGTACGTTCATTTAACAGATAATGTTTAGGCTATTTAAAGAAAATAAATAAATATTTATTTTAATAATTAGAAGATTTTTACCATTCATCACGCTTTTTAATTCACATTCTTCAGGTGAGATATGATGAAAAGAAATTTATAATTCAGATGAGAAGATTGGACTAAGATGTGATGTTTCAAAAGAAGCTGAAAAATAAAATAAGATAAAAATTATCTACTTTTTCTTTAGAGATTTTCACAATGAATTTTCGTTTAAAATAAAACGTATTAGATCATGAAAAAATAAGATACAAAACGCGCCTATTTATTGTGGGACATTCGTTAGTTTTAATCATGTTTTTCATAAACGGAAACGAATTTATGTTCTTTTAGAATTATAAAACATTTTTATGTTCGAAGTTATGGGTAGAACTGGTGTCCGTCGGATATTTTGCTATATTTCGAACTATCAGCTATTTCGATTATTTTATGTTAAAGTAAGAGAGCATGACTATAGATGAAACTATCTAGTCAGTTAAGAAAACGGCATTTTCTCGTTTAAACCAGTTAATCACACCTAAACGCCGTCTCGAAGCAGGAAATTGACCTTGATAAACGGTATTGAAACGCTATTTTATATATCTAGTCATCACTTACATAAAATGATGTTTCGATGTCGTTTATCAAGGTCAATTTTCTGTTCTCCGAGACGATGTTTGAGTGTGACAAACTAGCTTAAACGATAAAGTGCCATTTTGTTAACTGACTAGATAGTGCCGATGAGTTCATTACATGACAGTATCGATATAGACTTCATCTTTGTTGAATGTCATTCTAACCAATAAAGATCAATTGTCAAACAGTCTGACTCATTCCTTGAGCTATCAGTCATACATTAAACATTACCCGCATCAACTATATAAATTATCATATTGACCTTCTAGTAGAAAGAACTGTAATTCTCATACGAATGAAAACACTGAAGTAAACATCATGTGGTAAAATCCATTATTTGTCAAACTTACTATTACAAACCAAAAGTCGATTAAAAACTTGTTTAACCACAGGTGGTGAAAGTTTAATCAATTTCGGCAATGCACTAAGAATTTTTCTCTAAAATAAATCAGATTCTATTTTCTACTAAAACATTAATTCACAAACCTTTTCCAAACCGGTAAGTATCGGTATAAGAAAACGAACATCACATAAACGTTTATTATATAAATCTCGTACTTTTTCAACCAATTCAGGTGATGGTGAAGCTAAAAGACGAAAATATTTATGAGAAATGAGAAGAAAATAGCCATACTTTGTTCAATGAGAATATTAATAATAGGAGTAATTAATGTTTCAGCGCCTTTAGAATAATTTTCAATCAGTTTTTATATTTCTGGACTACCCATACCCATTCCGCGAACTTTTATAATAAAATAATAAAAATAAAGAAAACTTAACTGAAACTTACAGGAATTTCTAAAACACGAAGAATAACTCGTTTTATATGACGATTAACTTATGTATAGATTGTTGCTAATCTATAAAAATATAAAAATGAATTTAAAACGAAATTATTCATTTAATTTGACGGTTCTATTAAATAATGATTAGATGACATTAAACTAAGATATAACAGTAGACAAAGATAAATTGAATCTTCTGTCTAAGTATCAATTGGTATTAGAAACAAAAGAATTTATTTGAAATATTCATCTAAAATCAATCTTTTACTTGTTGATCCATTCTTATCTTCACCAAAGAGTGGTTCAGGTGGTTGTGGTGTTGTTAAATCTTTCAAAAATTTCAAATCATGTCGCTGAAACAAGAATACACATCGAAAGATTTCGATTAAATTAATTTTAAATAATTACTTCAATTGCTTGTTTAAATTCTTCTTTTTCATGTAAATTTTTTTCAATACCTTAAGCATTCTTTCTTATTGAAACATTATCATTAGGAGTAAAATCAAGTAAAATATCGAACAAATTTTCACGTAATCTTATATTTATTCGATCAAAGATCAGATCACCTTATGTATTCATACAAACATAAGAACGAATTTCATCTTGACAATATCGTTTAAGTACAAGTTATGCATTATCGGTTATTAATGATACACTAGTTAATAAAAACGAGAGAATAAACTAAAAAGAAGATAATCAAGTAAATGATTTAATTAAGTATTTTTGTTTAATTTATCCGTCATCTTGATCGGCTTTTTTGTTATAAATATTCAAGTAATCGACATAATCTCTAATCATATTTAGGAAAATCTTTTCCTTAATTTCACTCTAATATACTTAAGTATCCATTGGCATAAAAATATCCTTGATAAAGCCATGAAAAAAACAAGATCATGATGTTTATGTACATCAGCAAATATTATTATCTTCAAAAAATAAATATTCACTATGAAATTTATAATACGTTGAAAAATAAATAGAAAGTCTAATCCTATGATTTCAGGTATAAAGATCGATAGTTAACTATGGCATTTCGCACTTTCAATATATAATAGAACAGGGCAGAGTTGTAACCGGTAAAGTTTTTACCTTATCAGCATGAGTCATTCTTCGTTTTTTTTCATTCTATAACAGTCAAATAAAGCCTGTATTATTTATATATTCTTTCTAATTATGACAATAAAGATATAACATTGTTTCACAACTCTAGTGCTTTTCATTATTTATTTTCATGTATTTTCTCTTTCTTGTGGCATCTTTTGATTTAATAAAATTGTTTGATGAGAAGTTTTTGATTTGCGAAAAAACATGCAAAAATCTGGCTCGACTAATAAAGAAAAAGTTGTGCCTCTAGGTCAATAAGAAATTTTCTAGCGGATCGGACTTGACGTTTACCGTTACTAGTTACAACTCTGAGACAAGATGTTCTTCCTTAGGATAAGTACTGAAGACTAAGAAGAAAAAAGGATGTTCAAATTACGCAGTTAGATCATTATGAAAAACGGTATTATTTCTCTAGAAATCCTTTATATTTAAGTTCATTTTTACAGAAAACGATTTCACTCATTATTGACGAGTAACATCATCCTATACAAAGAGCATGTTCCAATCAATGTAAACTAAATAAAATATTGACGAATTATAGAAAATCACTCATTATTAATAATAAACATCGCATCTTTTCAGTAAGCAATGATAATCGAAACTAATTCTCCTCAAACGAATTGTTTCGAGTGACAATTACTTTTTATTCTAAGTTAAAATTTTCACATCTTCTATTATTATATAGAATTGAAACATATCCTCAGAGTTTGAATAAAATAGATCTTACTAATCTCTGCAAAATCATTATACTTACTATCACGAAAACGTTGTTCGGATAAACATACTAATGAAGTCATTGTTTTTTTTTTCTTAGATGACTAAGACCAGCTGCTTCACAAACATCTAACATAAACAATCAAAAAGAAAAATATCTGATATACTCAAATAATTCTAACAAACCTTCGATATGAACAATTCGATAAAATGAATCTCTTGACATACGTTGCATTTCATTATATTCAATTGGTTTAATAGCGTCAGCTTATTTAAATCGTTTCATTTTTTTTTCTTGTATATTTGTAATTGTTGACATTGTTGTTACTCCTGCTGATGTTGATAGCATATCACAAAGTTCATTTCCACTAGTTGATGGTAAAACTGCTTTTATATCACTATCTGTTGAAGATCAACAAAACGAATCATCACGTCCAACATCCATTATACTTTATATTGGTTTTCCTGCTTCAATATCATCATCAATTGGTGGTTTAACATACTAAAATAATAATCATTAGATTTTAGTTTATTTATTTTAAATTACTTGTTCAGATCTCATTAATTCATAACCTTTTCCATAACCAACTGCTGTTAATTGTGCACCAAGTAATCGTGTTAAATGTTCAATTTGTGCTAGTGTACCAGCTGCTGCAATTGGTGTATAAGTTGCTTGAGAAATGATACAGGCATTTTTTCCGGTAATAACAACATTGATAGAAGAACTAAATCAACAAGATTTCCAATAGATAATTTTCCAAGAAGATCAGCAGCTTTTATATCAATTGCTGTTTGATGTTGAGGATAAGATGATGAAGAACTTGTTGATGTTGAACATACTGTTGAACCGTGTGCACCACTTGATGAGATTCATTTTCTAGTAACACTAATATTTCAATCATCTTTATCAAAAATATTTGTATCATCCTAGATATTAGATAATTGAAATTAAATAGAAGAATTTTCAATGAATATACACTAGTAATTTTAGATTTTTTTTGCATTTATTTCACTATTAGTTAATCATAATTTACGTTTAGATTTCGATGAAACTTTTGGTAAATGTTTAAGAGAGGGTCCGCGAGACCACCAAACAAGTCGGCCGTCGACAAAATTTTGAGTTTCGATTTAGGTATCTCAAATGAAAGGTCTAGTCAAACCATAGACAAATCCAAAATATTAGCTCTTTCTGACTTCCCTATGAAAAATGGTATAGTATACAAGTGATACACCCTCCGAAACCTGCAAAAAAAGGCATTTTTTTAGAGTGACCTTAGTATTTTGCACTTTTCTCTGCATCTGCTCATTCATTCGAGTTTCGGCACGTTTCAAAAGATGCAGAAATATTTTTTCTACAAAAGTTGATAATTGCTTATGTTCTACAATGCCATTCATCAAGTGATAATTCCAATATACGAGCAAAAAGGACTATTAGCTAAAATCACGATTTTCTAGTATTTTGACTCTAGCCACGCTGGATCATGCCATCCCAAAATGATTTATATATTTTCTGAAAGCCCTTAAAATTCTGCATCGTATAAGATATTACTTTAAAAGACTAAAACACCAGCGAAAAAAGTTTGTCCATGGCACAAACGTCAGGGGGTGATGACCATCTCTATTAATTCTGCGCCCTAATTAGGATAATAAATTATTTTTGTCCAACGGAATGCAAAGTGTGACTTCATATTCGTAATCTACATGAAAAACTGAATATGAATATGTTATTTGGTTGAAGGTAAAGTTAATCAAGTAAAAATTATCCTGTCGACTACAATTAACTGGAATATATCGCCAAGTATATATATTAAGAGATTTGTTTAGAAACCTGTCTGGTCTCTCATAAGAAACTTTGGAATCGAGTTTTATGTCTTATTTAGAATCACTGGACTCTTACCCTCAAAATTAAGTAAGAATGTGTTTTAGATTGCTTTTTATTTGTGAGAAAATTCGATTTTCCTAGATGGTAATCGGAAAAACATAAAACTGAAAAAGTAGTGTCCATATTTGATAGCTTTTATTGTAATAGCTTATTCTGATGCCAAAACGAATAGCATATTCGGAATCAGTGTAAAAAACTACGTTGAATAACATATATTTTGGAAAAAATTTTTTTCCATCAAAAATCACCCCCTAGGGGACCACGGACGAAGTTTGAGAAAAATAGCCCTGAGGAGACCACAGGGGCGATTTTTTATGGAAAAAAAATTTCCAAAATATATGTTATTCGACGAAGTTTTTCACGCTGATTTCGAATATGCTATTCATTTAGGTATTAGAACAATCTATTACAATAAAAGCTATCAGGTATGTACACAATTTTTAGAGTGTTGTATGCTTTTCAGATAAACATTGAGGGCAATCGAATTTTCTCAAAAAATAAAAAGCAATTTAAAGAAGCTGCATAGGTAATTTTGAAGGTAAGAGTCCAGTGATCCTAAACAAGATATAAAAATCAGTTTTACATTTGCTCATGAAAAACTAGATAGGCTTACAAAGAAGCCTATAAATATATGCTTTGAGATATACTCCAGTTATCTGTATTCGGTAGCATATTTTTATCCTGATTAACTTTACCTTCAACCAAATAACATATTCATATTCAGTTTTTCATGTAGATTACGAATATGAAGTCACACTTTGCATTCCGTTGGACAAAAATAATTTATTATCCTAANTCACTTGATGAATGGCATTGTAGAACATAAGCAATTATCAACTTTTGTAGAAAAAATATTTCTGCAGATTTCGGAGGGTGTATCACTTGTATACTATACCATTTTTCATAGGGAAGTCAGAAAGAGCTAATATTTTGGATTTGTCTATGGTTTGACTAGACCTTTCATTTGAGATACCTAAATCGAAACTCAAAATTTTGTCGACAGCCGACTTGTTTGGTGGTCTCGCGGACCCTCTCTTAAGAAGCTAAAAACAAATAATATTTATTAAAATGAAAAAGAACAAAAGAAACACTTCAGCTTGTGTAGCACCAAGATCAGTTAATAATCTTGTAATTTGTGGTTGAAAATCGAATGAAGCAGGATGTTTGAGAAGACTTAATAATTTTAATTTATTTATTTTTCGAACACTACTAACTTGAGAATCGACCAATGTCGGTGGTAAATTAACTAAAAAATATTCATTTTGAAATTTTATAAATCAATTAAAATAAAATTTACCTTGTAATGCTTCAAATGTTTGTACAACTCGACATACAGTAGGGTGCAAAAAAAATTGCCGTTACCACTTTAAATATTTCTCGTAATGGAAGCAATGAATATTGAAACTGTTTTGATTGGTAGATAATATATGTGCTGTAGTCTACAACTATAACATTTTATAAAAACTTTGCGTTCTCTTCGAATCAATAAGAGTGAAAAAGTTCACTTTCTTGGAAGCGATCAAACAACTTACAGTTTACATCACAGTTCTATCCTATGGTTCGTTCAAGAATCTCTGTAATTTATCCAGATTTGAGAGTTTCTCCGTATAAGCAGCCTGTACCAGTCGTGATCACAACGATACAGCTAACATAAATTTTCTGCTATTTGATGGCCATATGATGATTTCGTGTTGCTATGGCTAAAAAACTGCTATGTTAACTCACATGCTCCACAACGCTTCGCTTTTGAATCTTGGAAATTTTATATTAGATAGTATAGAGAGAGATCTTCATTACACAGACAGCTTTGGGTGGTCTTATGAGAATCCTTACTCTAATAGTATAAGATGACTAATCGATTCGCTGATAGAGTAGTAGCACTTGAATGATTTGCCATTTTCATAAAACCTAGTAACATGTTCGGGGACTTGCTAGTTTCACCGGATGCACAGAACTAGTGGCTAGCGTTTTTGAATAATTTTTAAATGATCGCTTGAAAAAATAAGAAAATACGCTTTGACAAAACTTTTCTGTCAAAGGGCAATTTTGTTTGCACCCTACTGTATATAATCTGGTCTTTGTCGATCAATATTCTCTATTGCACCCATTGCTGCTATTAGATTAACACTAAATGAATAAAATAAATGAATTAAAAAAAAGAATAATTTCATTTCATACCTTGATAAATGTTGAGAAAGAATAAATTCAAGTAATTTTTCCATTAGATCTTTTCCTTGTTGTTCAAGTTTATTTCGACGTTATAATCAATGACCATCTTCTACTAAATTTAAAGAAAAATCTTGTTCATTTCAACTCGGAATAATTGAATCCTATATGAAAACAAATATGTTTTTCCTTAAATTCAATTATTTATTAATATTTTGACTTGTGTACGTCGTGATAAAACAAGTGCAAACATTTCAATAAATTGAATTGCCACTGTACGAACTCTATTATATCGAAATTTATAAAAAAAATAAAAATAATTCTCTTCAATTTACCCATTATTATCTGAATCAAGCATATCAATAATATGAATATTCATATTATTGATACTCTCCGACATACAACGTACATTTTCATCAACAAGTCGAGATTTCGAAAGGTACTAAACAAAATCTTTCAACAGATTTTTTTAAATCGAAAATTCTCATCTTTAATGTTAATCTATAAATTGTTATCATACTAACAATTACTAGTTTGTTTTGTACAAGTACATTATCATCATAATGTAAAAGTCGAAGACTATCAATCACTTTAACAATAACTTCTGGATCATATTCACTTAAAAAATAAAATTATCATAAATAAATATCTTTTTCAACTAACCAAGCTTCTTCGCAATAAATAAGATTATTGTTTTTCTTACTTATC